TATGATCAACCGATCCATCACTATCTGCAGACCACCATTTTAGACACACCAGACACCACCACCAACTTTCACTTCATCCGTTCTACTTCCACCACCATCAGAAATTTGAGATATGTCATGGATGAACAAAGATTAAAGACCCTAATCGAAATCTAAAAGTTTTAGAACACGAATTTGTCATGGGTGAACTTAATTCAATAGATGAAAACCCTAATCTACCGTAGTTGAACAAAGTCGACTATTCCAGATCTACAAACTTACTAGAAACAAAAATGAAAACATAATCGATTACGGTTTTTGGAAAACCCAAACTATCCACATGTGCAAACCATCTATAAACAAGATGAACACATACTACTGAATACTAGCTCGTCGAATATGGGGTTTTAGAAATTAAAAATGTACTGAAAACGAAATTGATAACGCCTAGTTTAGACATACTTTTATGGAATTATATTATTATTTTATGATATATTTTTATATTATTTGGAACAAAAGGTTCTTATAAAGTTTTAAATTGTTATTTTACATATATAATATGTTACTAGAGCGAAAAGGAAGAAAAATGTTGAAAATAGAGCTAGATCAGAAAAAATGAAAAAACATTGAATTTATGTAAGAGGTGTGTCACGCCCCTTCATGATATGGGCCGCTTCTTTTCAAAAAATAAAAAATTATTTTTTTCCAAGCCGACAAGTTTGGTTTCATTATGGATTCTCATTATCACGATGCGACAAAGCCATTACCTCCTTGTGGTGTCGCGGAAATCTATAAATGGATGTGAAAATTAACCCTAACAAGATATCTTACAATCCACTTTAACTTGTGCGACAAGAAACTTTAGAACTACCATTCTAAGGGGTCCAGAAGGTGGTTGAAGAGTCATTAAACTGATATGGAGCAAAGATTTGAAGGATTTGAGAGTTGATTCATGATAGGAATAATTTGGTTTATTGTTTTGACCATCATTAGCATTCTAATTGTTTCTATTTGAGTTTTTACTTTAAGAATTAGGGTGTTCAAACATTTTGCTTTGTGTTTAAGTTAGATGAATCATTGATATTTTGGATTAAATTGCTCTTTGGATCATTTATTTTTATTTAATTTATTGTGTAAGTTTGACTGAAGATTCATATGTGTTAAAGATCGTTACATTATTACTTATTGCTAAGTCTATGTGATTAGAAGACAAATCTAATTATATTTTCCAGAATCATAGTGGTTTTATTACCATAAAATAATTGTGACTAGTGTTGGATCAAAACCTAGGGTTAGGTTAATAAAGTTGTGAACTTTCAAGCGCGAGCATGTTTTAGATGACCATTATTAGCATGATTTAATTCTAATAATCTTTAGGATTGACAAAAATCGAATCTTGCATGATGCGAACTGAAAAATAAATTCAAGGATAATTAATGGCATGATAATGAAATTAAAACTTCTTTGAGTCATTAGTATTCATGTATGGACCAAATACACGAATCAATTTAAGAATTAGTGAATAATGAATAAATAACCATTGCATTTAGTAATTAACCAACATTTTCAAATGCAATCTAATCTAAACTAAAGTACTTGAAGTGATTCATTTCTAATCAGTTATTCTAGTTAGTTTAGCTATTTATTTGCTTGCGATTTTATAATAAGACCCCCCCACCCCCACCCCCACCCCCTTAGTGCTTTCATTTATTTAGTGTAACCTATAATAAAAAGTTCTAAGGTTAATTCACTATCGTTCCCTAAACCTTTGATAACTCTTCAAGGCTACAACTATACTATTTCATAATTAGGTACATTGTCTAGTGTGTGAAAGCTAGTTGATATAGAATTGAATTTATAAATTTAAAACTAGTGCATTGAATACACATCGGAAATCGATGGAGATATAGATGAATGTTTGTGGTTTTCAGATTTGGAACTTCTCTGCCACCCTTCGTCTTCACCAGATGCACAACTTCGTCATATAAACCTTAGATCTCCGGTAACCCTAATGTCAGTGGTTCTAGTGAGATATGAAACTCGTAGACATGAAACCTCATCACATTTTAAGATTTGAGAGAATGGTTCTCCTTATAGCAAGGATGAGGCTTTCTAACGAGTAGGCAGTGTTCCAACGAGCAGAGCAACATTCCAACAATGCGGGCAACAACGACATTGACTGGTTTGGTGGTGTTGCTTTTGATTATCGGTGGTGGTTGTATCTTCTAGTTGCCAAAATCAAATAAGCAAGATGAGAGAGAGAGAGAGAGAGAGATGGTAGGTTTATTTAATTGTTGTGTAAAGACATATAAATACGAAAATGCCCATCATTTTTTAAAGACACGTGAAACTTAACAACATGCTTTAGACGAGCACTAATTTGAGGGACCAAATCTATATGATATGTTAAATTTTGGACCTATTATGCACAAAAGAAAAAATTGGACTCAAAGTACATTTTTAAGATACCGTAAGATTAATGTTGCAATTCACTCTTTAAACAATCATATATAGATTTAAACACTCCAACTGGAAGTGGATCTCAATTGAGGTGGTATGCATTCAAAAAGGTAAAATAGATCATTTCAACCATTCCATGTTGTGACTCCTCTTGTACATGCATTAAGTGTATGAATTAAGGTTTTAGAGCATCCACAATGGTGAGTTCAATAGGAGAATTGAATGAGGTGGCAAGTTCATGTGTCATTCAATGGATAAAACTCTTCCATTGTGAGATGCCACATTAGCATTCAATGAATTTGGAGTTCAATGACCATTAAACTCTTCAATGGGAAAAATGAAAGTTTTAATTCTTAAATATATACTATAAATTATATTTTATAACATTCTATTAAACTTTGTAAAGTTTAATACATTGTAGAGAAAAATATATGAAGTTGTATGGATTGTAGAATGATGATGTGACAATCCATTGAACTCTATGAAGTTCAATGCATTGTCGATGCCCTTAGAATGAACTTTAAAGTTAAACTATTTATGGCTTAGGGAATAAGTAATCATTTGTTTGAATAGGATCCAAGTGAACAGAGGTTATATATATATATATATATATATATATATATATATATATATATATATATATATATATATATATATATATAAAAGGAATAATACCTTTTTATTTTTATTGAACTTTGTATGCATCAAACAGTTTTATCATAATTATTGTTAAAATACAATGCATAGAAGTTTGGTAATTATCTTTTTTTAGTTTATATATAATGATGCTCAATGCTTGCACCCTTAAGCTTTGTATTCAGCCCACAGTTGAGCAACTGACTTCCCTAGCAAGTCCACGAAATAACCGTCATTATAGCCGTTCCTCATCTTCTTATTGAGTTCAGCCACGAACCCACTTCTACGACCATTACAATAGTCTAGAAACCGAGCTGTCACATCGTACCCTTGGTCCCATTTGTTACCTTGCCCTGGCCGAACCCAATGGCTAGGAGCATACCCAGCCTTCAGCCTCACGTAATCCGCAATTCCCTCTATCAATCCTCCCGGAGCTTGACCGTTTCCATTCCATTGCCATACATGAGTCATCTCATGGTAGAGTACTCCGGTAATCTCAGTCTTGACATCACCGGAATAACCCTGAATATACCTCGCGCTGACATGGATCTCATTGCCAGAAGTGTAGGCAACACCATCCATATCATCAATGAACACGTTTACTTGTGCTACATTCTTTCTATCAGCAGCAGTATTTTGTTGGAATGTGGTCCATATGAAGCTTGTGGCGGAACCGAGAGTTTGAGTGGTGTATGCCGCCCCAATGACGTTGTTGAACTTAACACCGCCGGGGGTGGCTGCTGCCCGGTTTGTGACGGAGTAGTCGACTGCTGACGACAGTTGCAGAGCTGCTAAGATTGCAAGGGATGAGAGGAAGAAGGAGATCTTGGTGGCCATTTTTGAAGATAGGGTTAGGTTGTATACGAGGTTGGGTTTATATAGAAGTGGCTTGTGCCTGGTGGTGAACGATAATGCTCATAGTGGGACACGAGCTGAGTCAACACGGCGCAGCCAACAATGGAAACTACAATTGTGACCGACTTGGACATATTCGTCTTTCTTATCTTTTTAATCCTTTTTTTGATATGTTTTGAATAATGAGAATTGAGAAACTAATAGACATTGACTATAGTTTCTTCGTCAAGATTATTTAGTTATTCTGTAAATACAATTACTCTTGTTATCAACTTATTTAGGATTTTTTTTTAACTGAGTTTAATATGTATTTTCGAGATTTTATCATATTTTTACCCATTTATATGATATGTTTCATATTTTAATTACAAAAACATGTTTAATTAATGTTAACGCTCGATTACATTCATCGATATAAAAATATAAATATCATTACAAAAATCTACTTCTTATTCTGTATTTGGTAAAATATTAGCGAGCTGGTAAAGACCGTCACTGGAAAATTTAATTGCGGGCGACTTGGACCTCTTCGTATAGTCAACATTCTTTAAATTATTTATTCAATAATTTATGGATGTTGCAAAAAACGGCAGGACATTTCTTATTTTTATTTTTATTTTCAACATTTAATTGCAAAAAATGTCACATATTATTATTTTCATAAAAATTAAATGGATCATGTAAATGTAGTGATCTAAAAACTATTAAAGTGACTAAAGGATTTGTTTCAACTATATCGAAATATTCTAAGACATTCTATGACGCAGAAATTTTCATTATTCATAATTGCATATGTTCACCGTTGTTTGGATTTGTAGCATTACTACAATATGGCTCATCTCGTCCCCAAATATACTCTAGTTTTTACCATATTATTGAGAAAATAGAAAGATTTCTTTAGGTATATAGCATCATTCCATGGCCATGTAACTTGGGTTATGAAAATACTTAACCCGTCTTTTGGGAGCCAACATCTTCAGGGATTGAGTTTTTAACAAAAAGAGTGTTTTTTAAAAAACTTATATACTCAATAGGAAGAAATTACCAACGACGCGATACACAATCTGTACATGATTCGTCTCTCCGGCGGCACCTCCATCGTCGGCGACAACTCCAACCGGCCACCATTCAACATCCGGCCATACCAAACTCAACCTCTGTCAATCCCCCAACATGCAATTCCATCTCTGGTATTGAACTCCATCTTTGATTTATGTATGGAATAGGTGCTGGTTATAGCAAGAAGATGATTCTATTTCGATTTTTGGTGTAGAAGTTTTGTTAGATTAGATTGCTTAGGTTAGATTTCTGAGAATTCTGAATTCTGAATTTTAAATTCCGTTTACTAATTTCTGAGAATTGAATGAAAGTAGGTTTGATTTTTGATTGCTTGAATATAGCAGAGGTGCTAATTGGGCTTAAGAAGACATGAAATTTGTATTAGTTTATAACAAAAGCCCCTGCCATGTTTGTTGGCTTGGACTTTCGTGTATCAATTTTATCTTGTGTGTATGTTCGTTATTTTACAAAAGAATTCTTTTTGCATAAATACAGAGGAGGTATCGGAGGGTATTGTTGTAGGGAAATGTTAACTGTTTTCTAAGATACTGCTATATTTTGGTGCTAGAAATATGCATCACGAATTGTTGATCAAATTGTAAGAAAGAATGTTAAACATTATATATACTATTAATTGCTAAAAACTTGGTGAATAGGAAACTTTGACAATTCTTATTTCCGCCACATTTTTTTCTTATTTGTACACGCAAGTCTTGGCTTTCTTATTTTGCCACGCACCGAAGTCATTTTGCCCTTGTGACTTCACTTTTGGCTGATGCTTATCTTCTCTTCCTCAAAGTCGGTCCATTCTCCTCCAATATCTATCGCTTCCTCTCCACCGCCTTTCCCTATTTCTTCTTATCTCAATATCCTCCTAATTTCATCCGAAAAGGCTTCCATGTCCCTTGTGATTTCCGGCACTCCACTTTCTTGCACCACTCCGACGATCCCTTTTGTTTCATGCCTTCCAATTATTGAATCGGGTTCCTTCTCTTCTATTGCTCATCTATTTTGCCCTTAATTGAACATTATCTCTCAATTAAACCACCGATCAACCTTGCACTGGAATCCAGAGGGTAAGAATGTATGGCCGGATCTCCGTTCAAGAGTGTCAGAGTACCCTGGCGGATTAAACCTGCAACATAGTGTAGCGTATTGGCTCACTCTAGACCTTTTATCCTCAAACACTCAAACCGCCATTAGAGTTTATAACTCGAGTGAAGTTGACGTCATATTCGTCCCCTTCTTTTCTTCTGTATGCTTCAATCGATTTTCTAGGTTAAACCCTCACCAAAAAACCAACAGGAACAAAAAACTACAAGCTGGTGGGTTGCCGACGGTGAGGTGTTGCAAGGTAGGTCGGTTAAAGGAGTCCAGACCATCTGTTGTTTCCGATTTAGGGGTACTGATTATCACCCACCATCATCTCCACTTCCATAAGTCGATGTCTGATTTCATTTACTTCTTATGTAGGTTTCGATGAATTACATAGGGAGTTCAGGGTCGGCTTTCGCATTTCAGGTATATCACCCATAATTTCGGATTTGAAGTTGCTTAAACTTTGATTTTATTGTAACTTCCATTCATATTTCATCAATTTGATTTTACGTTATATTAATCATTATTTAGAAACGACGTTTTCATATCTTCATTGAGCCCCGATTAGATACTTTCCTTGAAATTCAGATGCTGATATCAAATAGTACATGAGAGCAAGTTGTTGTTCCCAGTGGGGCATGATACGAACCAGTTGGTATAGCATGTATTCGAGTCACAGGTAGACTCCACAAGAGATAAACTCCAATACTGTTTCTTGCATTAAAAGATAAACTCCAATACTGTTTCTTGCATTAAAAGATAGGTCTGATACAATATGATACTTATACAAAACAATAAGGAAACTAAATCACCGACCCAAACATAAAAGATAAACTCCTAAAATAAATAAAACTAATTGTGGAAATAAAAAACTTAAATAAATTACTAAAAAGCCCCTGAGCCCACTTTACTTTCGCCTCCTATAGATCACACCAAAACGACCCAGGACAGGGATCGTATCATTACTCCCCTCCCAAACTCGAACCTTGTCCTTAAGGTTAAATTCGGGAAACTGCCTAATCATCGCTTCCAAAGGCTCCCAAGTTACTTCATATTCTGGTAAATTAGCCCAACGGGTCAAAACTTCCTTTCCAGCTTCCCCATCACGAACTCCTTTAACCTTGCTTGGACTTAGTAAAACCTCCATGTCTTCAGTCAAGGTAGCAGGTAATTGAGACATTGTTGTCCGATTCCCAATCAGTTTGCGGAGCTGTGATACATGAAAGACAACATGTATCCTTGCATTGTCTGGAATTTTTAAGCGATAAGCAACCTTACCGATACGTTCAAGTACCGCAAAAGGTCCAAAATAATGTGGTGCCAATTTCTCATTTCGACGTCTTGCCAATGTGTGTTGACGATAAGGCTTGAGTTTAAGATAAACCCAATCCCCCACCTCATATTCCACGTCCCTCCTATGGAGATCAGCTTGTGCTTTTATGACTTGTTGAGCTCTGATTAAATACCCCATTAATTCTTGTAAAACACGGTCCCTTTCTTCCAAATACTGATCCACATTGCTAACTGGCGTTTTCAAGCTACCATAATATAACAAGCGAGGTGGATCACGGCCATACAAGACATGAAAAGGCATCGTCTTAGTAGACATATGGAATGAAGTATTATACCAATACTCAGCCCACGGTAACCACTTAACCCATCTCTTGGGAGTATCTCCTATAAAACACCGTAAATAAGTCTCCAAGCATCGATTAACTACCTCCGTTTTTCCATCTGTTTGAGAATGATAGGCGGTACTTCTCTTAAGCGTGGTACCCTGCAATCGAAATAGTTACTTCCAAAAATGACTCACGAATACTTTATCTTGGTCCGACACAATAGATATTGGTATCGCATGTAAACGTACTACTTCCTTGACAAAAAGGGTAGCGATAATCGGTGCAGTGTAAGGGTGCTTCACCGGAATAAAATGTGCATACTTGTTGAGACGGTCAACCACCACAAAGATGACTGAGTACCCATCCGATCGAGGTAAGCCATTGATAAAATCCATAGTAACTTCCGACCAAACTGCCGTCGGTAATTCCAAAGGTTGTAATAACCCATTTGGCGCCATTGTCGAATACTTTTGTCGTTGACAAACGTCACACTCCGCTACTAGTTTAGCAATATCACCTTTCATACCCTTCCAATAAACTTCTTGAGCTAATCGTTGGTAAGTTTCTATATCCCCGAATGACCACCCACTACTCCCTCATGCAACTCACTAAACAAAATTGATACCCATTTAGAACGCCTTGGCAAAACTATCTTCCCTTTAAATAGCAATCTTCCTTGCTCAACTGTGTAACCTGCTAGTCTGGATGTACCTGTGATGACCTGTTGTTTTATCAACTGCAACTCATCATCCTTCTTGACATCTCGCCACAACTCTACCCAATCAACCTCACTAGTCGTTATTATCGAGAGTTGTGCTTCGGGGGTCTTCCGTGAGAGCGCATCCGCAACAACATTATCTTTCCCGGGATGGTATTTGATATCAAACTTATATCCCAGTAGTTTGGATAACCACTTTTAATGGTCTTTAGTTATTGTACGTTGCTCCAGGAGATATTTTAAACTTCTCTGATCAGTTCGAACCACAAAGTTCCTTCCTAATAAATAAGGTCGCCACTTCTGAATTGCCATAACTACTGCCATGAGTTCCCGCTCGTAAACTGATTTCAATCTCGCTCGAGCACCCAACGTATGACTAAAAAATGCCAGTGGTCTCCCTTCTTGCATGAGAACCGCCCCTAACCCATATCCGGAAGCATCCGTCTCCAACACGAATTGTTTGTTGAAATCAGGTAATGCTGAAACTGGTACTTATGTCATTGCGGTTTGAAGCTTTTTAAACGCCTCCGAAGCTTCATTAGACCAATTAAAACTATCTTTTTTTAGTTGTTCTGTAAGATCCCATGTGATCTTCCCGTAATCTTTAAAAAACTTACGGTAATAACCTGTCAAACCCAGAAACCCTCTAAGCTCACGAATAGTCTTTGGCATAGGCCACTCGAGCATAACACTGATTTTGAGTGGATCAGCCGACACCCCCTCCTCTGACACGATATATGCAAGATACTCAACTTTCTTTTGCCCAAAAAAACACTTCTTGTTTGCGTACAACATATTATCATGTAGTAATTGTAGGACAATAGACAAGTGTTTATGATGTTCTTGCTCCAATTTGCTATAAATTAAAATATCATCAAAAAACACCAAAACAAATCATCTCAAATAAGGCTGGAATACCTTATTCATCAACGACTGAAACGTAGCTGGTGCATTATGTTGGATTAGTGTCTAAGTCCATAACTATTTTGGTATGTACTTGACCCGATGGTGCATGGTCCTTTTGGGTTGCCTTCACCAAAGCAACTTGATTGGAGAAATATATAGAGAGAGAGGATAATATGATTTATTAATATGTTATAAGAATAATATATTAAAGGAGAAATCATATTTGTTTAATTAATATTGGTCAATAATTAATTAGGAATTAATTTTGTGATCAAGTGTAATTAATTAAACTAGAGGGGCTGATTTGTAATTATGTGATAGTTACAAAATAAGGTAAGGATTATCTTAAATATAGGGTGAACGAATTTGAGGTGATAAGGCCTTAGAATTCGACTATGATAAGGATTCAAGGATTATCTTATGGGTTGCCTTATGAATAAGCAACTAGATAAGGATAATGACTGAAACCCTATCTCTACACCTATATAAACACCCCTTGGCTCATGAATTCGTGTATCTCTTCCCAAGAAGTCCTAAGGACAAATTCTAACCTCTCTCCTCTCTCTTTATACCTTCTCCATTTGCTCTTGGTGTTTGTAAGCCATTAGAGGAGTGACACTTGTGACTCTAAGCCTTCCAAAGTCAAATCAAGGAGATTTGGGATTGTTATTGCTACATAACAATCAAGGTAACATCTTAAACCTAATTATGTTAATATCGATTTCCATATGCTAGAATTAGGGTTTATAGTCTTGGATTCAAAGCATGTACAATAGAGAAACCTAGATCCAAGCATTAGGGTTTGTATGAGCACATAGGATGTCTTATGACCAAAACCCATCAGTGGTATCAGAGCCTAGATTGGTTTCTATTGTATTGATGCATTATATGTTTGAAAAATTCGATTTTTTTTGGCTTATGGAGGCTGGACTTGCCGAGTCCATAGCTGAACTCGCCGAGTCCAGGGTGACTCGACGAGTCAACTCGTCAGATAATGCTTATCTCGGGATTTCTTGCTGTTTTTGCATATGGATAGTTACCTTATCATGTTAGATCAATATTAATCCGATTATATGATATATTTGACTATATTTTTGATCTAAATGAAGATATTTATCAATTAATAAGATAATTGTTTCCTTATAAGATAATTGATTAATTATTTTGAGTAAATTGATAAATTGTTTTGCAAGAAATCATTAAATAAATCAAATATGGATAATTATGTGATTAAATGTTAATTTAAAATTATTTGTTATTTGATCTTTGTTGTTATGAAAAGTTTCATATTTTCCCCTTTAAGTTTTATAGTTTAAATTTGAACCCAAAAGTTTTGAAGTTTTGAAATTTAAATAGTTAAAACCCTAATGTTTTGAAAAAGGTTTCAAAACTTGCCCTCAAGTTTTGGAATTTAAAAGTTGATTAAAAGTTAATTAGGAATGTTAAATTCTAAAACCCTAGTAATATTTTGAAAAGTTCAAATACACCCTTATGGTTTTATTAATTAATTAAGGAGTATAATTAAAAGAGATTTAATAAATCCATAAAAGTTTAGGTTAACCATTTAATTGAATTAAAAGTGTAATTGTTAAAGTTAACCACATAGTATTTTAAAAGTGTAAAATGCGCCCTATACTATATATAACATTAAAAGTCTAACATTATATATATGTATAAGTAAAAGTCAGTCTTACCGTTAGTAGGCCTCATTCACGAAGCTGGTCTATAAGGGGTGTTTAAGGAAATTGCCTATAATATGGCGATTGAATGGGTATCCACTCTTACCCACCGCACTCTTGACTAGTGGAGGGTCGTTAGCCGAACGGGTAGGATAGGACGAAACCTTCCATTATAAGTATAATGAATACAAAGTAACTAAATGTTTTTCTAATTCCCAATCTTAGTTACTTAGGCAAAAGTGAATTGATGCAATTCCATGAAATTACACTTTGTGCCCTTGCGAAGACGTTAGTGGAGCGTGTGTGGTTTACCGGCACACTAAATGGTTCTAAGCAAAGGTAGCAAAGGGTGACTCAATGTTTGTCATAGTTCGGTGGAGCGTGTGTGGTTTACCGGCACATCGAATAGGTGATTGTAACATGTGAGGGCACCATGTAAGTTTGCATGGTTATTCACACCCGCTTTGTGATCCTCGGCATCCCAGTCACAAACAAGAGGGGCATATCGAGATTTAAACATGCCATTGAAATGTTCAATGAATCTCAAAGGATCTAGGAGTTTTCATAGATTTAAAACTTAAATTTCTTTTTCGTTTTTCATGGTGGAAATTAGTGAATCGTCATTCACTTACCTTCAAATGTTCTGCAATTTGGGTTACGGCATCCCTCTCCCGAGTTGTAGAATATTGTGTTGGGTCCTAGCCTTGGAATTTCATTTGGGTGATTTACAAGGACTCAATCAATCAACTAACTTGAATTTGTTTTCTCCCGTTTTGTAGATGTCAAAGTTCGACAACTATGGTCTTCCCAAATCCCGTGGAACAAGCATTCCACATGAAGATGATATTCCACGATTCGATCGAGGAACAAGAAATCATGCTTCACTTCCTCCTCCTCCTCCAATTATTCTCTCTAACCCACAAGATTGTAAAATTGAAAGGTTCAATATCACTCAAGCCCTTTTGGCAAGTAAACATAAAGAAGGAAAGTCGGTGTGTGCACACGTCTTAGGGATGAAGTCACACATTGATAGGTTAAGAATGATGGGATCCGTTGTC